TCACATTTGTTTCACTGGAGAATATATTCATTTCCAGTTGTGCTATGGGGAAAAATATTTGCACTGGATAAAATATTTAGTAATAATTAGAAAGAAGCTAATGGAGAGAAACTGCACTGTCCAAAATAATAACCACTAACCACATTAAGCTATTTAAATTTAAAATAATTAAAATTAAATACAACTAGAATTTTAGTTCCTAGACACATTTCAAGTGCACAGTGTGACTAGTGGCTACCATGCTAAAACAGCTTAGATACAGAACTTTTCCATCATCACACAGAGTTCTATTGGACAGCATTGTTTTAGAATATGAAAAAGCATGTCATTTCCCCACAATCACAGGGAGAATTACAGCCCAAAGAGCTCTCAGAGGAATTAGTATTGTATTATTTGAGGTTTACATTTATGCATAAAGTTAAATGCTAGGGCTTTGGGGCAGAATAGTCCTGCATTTCCAGTTTAGCTCTAACTTTTTCTAAATTGTATGAACTTAGTCATGTTCCTTCACTTCTCTGTACCTGTATTCTCATTTTTTAAAAGTTGGACCTGCAATAAATAGTACCTACCTCACAGGTTTGTTGTAAAGGATTAAATGAGATAAGCCAAATATCTGAATATGTGATCTATAAATTTTAACTATTCTTAGCACGTTAAGCGCCCAACCTGCTTTGTCTTGCAGATGGAAAATATGGTGTCAATCACCAGTGACTGATATAGGGCTTAACGAGTTAAGATATTCAGTCACAAAAATGAACTATCACCTCGAATGTAGGTGAGCGGTAGAAAAGGCAACAGGGAAAATTCAATTGTATTGACTCTGGATAGATAAATAAAATATGGGATTGCTATTCCTCCAAGACAAAAAGAAGTGACTTTCTCCCTTAGAGATCCTTTTGTCTTGCAGCTTTCAAAAAGTTGAGGGGTACCTCACCCTTAAACTTAAGAAACTCAGAATTGAAAGTTAACCAGGGTGTTGTGCTTTTATTTTACTTTATCAAGTAAAATAAAAGCACAACACCCTGTCTATAAAACAAGATTACCCAAACAAGTCTCTCAGTGGGTGAGACACTTAAAGTTGTTTTTCCAGCTATTTCTAACAATCAAATCCAATTCCTTGAAGTGCTATTATGGTAATATATTACTATATCCAATCTTTTGTGAATACCACACAATAGGCCTTCTGTACCTCTGTAATCAACTGGATAAATATTTATTGAATACCTACTATATACAAGACAGTTTTGTTCTATAACAATCATCAGCAAATTATATCTGGCAGGTCAAATTAAGTCCATTTTGTGTTTTTTGTATGGTAAGTGAGATAGGAATGACTTTTATATTTTTAAACTGTTACAAGAGCCCTCAACCACTATTATCAAACACTGAATGCCTCTGATAAGTAGTTTTTGCTGCAGACTTTATGTTTCTTAATTCATTCAACCTAGAATTACAAGGCAAAACAACACTTACATGTGAAATTACTGTAGGAGTCATTTCGACAACTAACATTGAATCACAAATGATTACATCATGCTTTCTAAAATTCCTATAGTTGTCAAAAGTCAAAGCAACAAAGTCACAATGAGATATCACTTCATACCCACTAGAAGGCCTATAATAAAAAAAGATAGACATTAGTAAGTATTGGTAGAGATGTGGAGAAATTCAAACCCTCATACATTCTGGTGGAAGAGGTAAATGGTACAGTCACTTTGGTAAGGAATTTGTCAATCCTTCACAAAGCAAAACACAGACTTACCATGTAGCCCAGCAATTCTACTCCTAGATATATACCAAGAGAAATGAAAACATGTGTCTGCACAGAAACTTGTACATGAATGTTTATATCAGAATTATTCATAATAAATAAAAGGTAAAAACCACCCAAATGCCCATCAACTGATGAAAGGGTAAATAAAATATAATATAGTTAGACAATGGAATAGTATTCAGCCATAAAAAGGAACAAAGTACTGATACATAGTAAAATTTGCATAAAATTGCCCTGGCCTATGTAGCTAACCTGGAGCATCACCCATACACCAAAATGTGGGAGGTTCGATTCCCATTCAGGGCACATACCCAGGTTGTGGGTTCAATCCCTGGTCAGGGTGTATGTGGGAGGCAATTGATCGATATTTCTTTCTCTCTCTAAAAATCAATAAAAGGAAATAAAAATGAATAAATGAATAAATAAATAAATAAATAAATAAATAAATAAATAAAAATTGGATAAAGTGAAAGAAGCCAAAAACAAAAGATCAGATATTGTATCATTCTATTTATATTGAAGTCAAGAAAATGAAAATCCATAGAGACAGAAAACAGATGAGTGGTTGCCTAGGGCTGGGAGTGGAAATGAGAAGTGAATGAAAATGTGCATAAGGTTTCCTTCTGGGTGATAGAAATGTTTTAAATAAGATTGTGGTGGTGATAACAGCTCTGAAATATACTAATAGTTATTAAATTTTACACTGGTTAAAAAGTGTACAAGAAGAAGCATGGCCCATAAAAGAAAAAAATAATAAATTGAACCCCATCAAAATTCAAACCTTTTGCACTTCAAATGACATTAAGAAAATGAAAAGACAGCCGAAACCGGTTTGGCTCAGTGGATAGAGCGTCAGCCTGTGGATTGAAAGGTCCCAGGTTCGATTCCAGTCAAGGGCATGTGCCTTGGTTGTGGGCACATCCCCAGTGGGGGGTGTACAAGAGGCAGCTGATTGATGATTCTCCCTCATCAATGTTTCTAGCTCTCTATCCCTCTCTCTTCCTCTCTATGAAGAATCAATAAAATATATTACAAGAAAAAAGAAAAGAAAATGAAAAGACAAGCAACAGACTGGAAGAAAATATCTACATTTCATATATCTGGCAGGGACTTATCTCCAGAATACATAAATACTTCTTATAACTCAATAATAAAAAGAAACTGAAGACAACTCAATTTAAAAATGGAAAAATATATAAATATATACACTGAAGAGGATATACGGATGACTAATAAGCACACAAAAAAGATGCTCATTATTCTTAGTCATTAAAGAATTGCAAGTTAAAACCACAACAAGATATCATTTCACACACATTTAGCATGGCTATAATAAAAAGACAGATGATAAGAAATGTTGGTAAGGATGTGTAGAAATAGACACCCTCATACATTGCTATTGGAAATACAAAATAGTGATGTTGCTTTGGAAAACAGTTTTGCAGTTTCTTGAAAAGGTAAGCATAAATTTGCCATATGATCCAGTAATTCCAGCTTTAGGCATATATCAAAGAAAAATGAAAACATATGTCTACATGAAGACTTGCACACAAATGCACTTAGCAGCATTATTCACAATAGCCAAAAATTGGAAACAACTTACATATCTATCAACTAGTGAGCAGATAGATGAAATGTATTATATCCATAAAATGGAATACTGTTTGGCAATAAAAAGCAATAAATACAAATACATGCTATAATATGGATGAACCTCAAAAATATTATGCTAAGTGAAGGAAGCCAGGCAAAAAAGACCCCATATTGTATGATTTCATTTAGAAGAAATGTCCAGAATATGCAAATTTATAGAGCCAGAAAGATTACTGGTTACCTGGGGCAAGGAGTGGGAATAAGGATTAACTGAGGGATATTACTGGGGGAGTGAAATGAGCATGAGGGATATCCTGGGGGAGTGAAAATGTTCTAAAACTGATTATGATGATGGCTGAGCCATTCAGTAAGTTACAAAAATGATTTAATTATATCCTTGAAATGGATTAATTTTATGATATGTAATCTATAACACACACAAAAAAACCTGTTAAAAATAGAAAAAGGACAATAGGGGCAAAATGTGTGAGAGGTACACAGGAACTCTACCATCTTTACAACTTTTCTACAAATCTAAAGTTATTCTGAAATAAAAATATATTCGAAAGTTAACAAGAATATGTTTCTGGATTGATACCAGTATTTGGAAGTCCCTGTCTATGTGAAAAGACATTTACAAAATGAAATGGGTAAAATGTCATTATCAATCAGTATTAACAGATGAACATTTGGAACAATTTTGATAATAGGAAACACTGACTGTGAGCCCCAATTAAACAAATTTAGCCCCCAAATCCATTATTCACACTAGTAGTCCTGTATTACAAAAAAGCACTCTATTATTACTATTATATTTTGAAATTCATAACTAAACATTTGTTAAAACTTGTTTTCTTTCATTATATAAGTACTTACAAATTATCCAGGATTTTGCTTTTTGGCCCTCAAAGCCTAAAATATTTACTATCTGGCTATTTACAGGAAGTTTGCCAAGCCGTGTTCTATACCATAACATGATAAATATAATCATTCTCTTTCTTGAGTGTATTCGTATCATTAACTAGTTTTGACATACTGTCCTTCTGGATATGCCCTATAAAGGATAAGCCTTGCATTTCTTCTGCTATGGCATTATTTGGATTTCCATAAACAGAAACACTATTAGCATAGATCTAGCAAAGCCTTGGTGTCATCGTTATAACCACAATACTAAAGGGTCAACATCATACCACAGTATCAAGATGACCCTCATCAAATTGTCATGTTACTAGGCCATAAACTCACTGAGGGCTCCTATGGCATCACACCCTGACTCTGGCATCACCCTGGCTCATCACCTTACTGCGGTGCCAAATGCTATCATTGCTGTGACAGAATTCTGTCCTGATGTCCCTCCGACAAGATGTCAAAATAATTAATCCAGACTTCTTTCCAGTCCTGTGCTAGGGGCAGGGAGGGGGAGGGTGGCCAAAGCCGCCAGTAAGAGCTCAGGAGATAATACTCAGCTCCTACTGTTGTCCCTTCCGCCTGCCGCTGCAGGTCAGGCTCCCCGTCCGACAGGACCTCTAGGCTCCCATAACTCTCTTGCTATAATTCTGCACCCGTTTCGCGCAGCCAACTCAACGCCCCACAGCGACCACCCACCCGGTCCCCACGAAGCGGGTCCCAGTACCTGACTCCATTCTCCAGCTGTCATCCTGGGCCAATTCCACTGGCCACTTGACTATGGTGGCTGCGCGGGACCCTGGGACTTGTAGTTTTGTGCTGCTAGGGGCAGAGTTGATAAGAACGGCACCGGTGCCTCCCAGCCTGGAATAGAGTTCAAACTGCAACTCCCAGAGACGCCCTGCGCCGGGGAAGGAGCGACGGGACGAGGAAGGGCGGTGATTGGTGGAGCTCTGTCAGTTCTTTTGATTGGCAATAGGAGGCGGCTACGTGAGTCTAGGTCCTACTGTACGGAGATCCTGGGAAAACGAAATGGAGGGGTGTGTGTCTAACCTAACGGTCTGCAATCTGGCCTACAGCGGAAAGCTGCAGGAGTTGAAGGAGGAGATCCTGGCCGATAAGTCCCTGGCTACTAGAACTGACCAGGTAAAGCGGCGCCGGGGCCTTTTCCATGGCGGCGGCGGTGACGTAGAGACAACGTGGCTGCCTGGCGCGGCCCAAGCGGAGGCAGATTCCTGAGGGCCAGATCCCCGCCCCTGTCGCCCCATCCTCACCCTGGGTCACCTCAGGACTCAGAATCGGGCGGTTGGAACTAGTCCCGCAATCCTCAGATTTATTTTCTTTTATTTTATTTTTAGCCCAGTACTTAGCTCCCTGAATTTTGGATATTTCTAGAACGTTTACTGTGTTTCTCAGAAATGCTCAATCTTTTGAGATGTCCCTGAGAAGGAAAGCTTTAAAAAAATATGGATGCCTTTACTTTTACAAGTGATTTATTCAACGAAACACGAGTAACCGAACGCCTCTTCAGTGCTAGACAGTTTGCTTAGAGTTGGGGGGACAGTGGAGTGGAAGAAGCGGAGATGCATACAGTACTCCTAAATCAAATGTCCGATTACAAATTGAGGTTAAAAACTTGGGAGAGAAGTTTACGTATAACTTTCAGAACATGTAATGGGAGAACCTGCTTTAATCTCCCTTAGAAAAGCCAAATGTTGTAATTGAAAAGGCTTTGCAAAGGTTGTGAGGCCTTGCAGGATGAGTGGATCTTCCTTCAGGATGAAATGGGCATTATAAGCAGAGGCAGAACAAAAGGGAATGTACTTTGGGAAGTGTTTCTTTCTGTCCTCCTGTTCAAAGGACCCTCATGCATTCACCCTGAGCTTTCAAGCAAGATTCACAGTGCCCTTAGTAAGCCAACAATATTTATAGATTGCCTACTATTTGACAGGCACCATGCTAAGAACTAGTGACAGTGTCATACTTAAAGATCTCCTTTTTTTGTCTTTGGGAAGAGAATTAAAAGTCAGGAGACCTTTTTTTTCTGGAACTTTCCTTTACTGCTTCACCTGAAAATCGTTTTACCTTGCCTAATTTATCTTCATATGGTCTGGCAATATTTAATATTTTAACTTAATTTAGTAATATTAAATTAAGGTCAAATAATAATTCCAACCATTTTCATCAAGTCAGTGGCATAAAAAGGGGGAAGCTATTCAAGATCAAGAGACATAGCCAGATGCAACTTGTGGACCTTATATGGATCCCGATTGAAACAAACCAACTTTGAAAAGACATTGGGGGGTCCTAGTTGGTTTGGCTCAGTGGATAGAGCATTGGCATGCAGACCAAAGGGTCCCAGAATTCAGGTCAAGGGCACATATCTCAGTTGCGGGCTCCTCCCCGGCCTGGCCCTGGTCAGGGCACTTGCAGGAGGTAACCAATTGATGTGCTTTTCTCACATTGATATTTCTGTCTTTCCTTCCCTCTTCCACTTTCTCTAAAAATCAATGGAAAAATATCTCGAGTGAGGATTAACAACAACAAAAAGACATTTGGGGGACAATTGAATACAGACTGGGTATTATATGTTATAAAGGAGTTAGTGTTAATTTGTTAATTTTTTAGAGTTAGTGCTAATTTTAATCGGTATAATAACGGTCTCAGAGCTATGTAGGAAAGTATCTTTGTTTTTTAGATATCGAAATACTTAGGGATGAAAAGTTAGGATATTTAGGATTTGTTTTTTTTAAAAAAGGCCAAGAAAACATTTGATGAAGCAAATATGGCAAAATATTAAATCTAGGTGATAGGCATATGGGTTGCTATTATATTCCCTCTATGTTTATGTGTTGTAACTTCTTGCTATAAAGTTTAAAATACCATTTTATTTTACCGAGGGCTAAAAATATAGCAGTCAATGCAAAAAGGGATTCCCTTAGAAAAATATGACTACCAGCTTATTAATTTTTTTTGAAAAAATAAATTCTGTGTGTGGTGTATGTTTTTAGATGGATATGCAGATAATCTCAACTGTTTATTAACATTTCTTCCCCACAAGATACATTTGTTCTTTCTAGAGAATCTAGAAATTTCGGATTCAGACAGCAATATTATCCCACTTTCACCATTCACTAGCTGTGTAACCTTGGATTAGTTGCTTACCCTGAGGAGTCTCAGTTTCTTCATCTGTAAAATGGGGATAATATCCACTGTACAGGATCGTGAGGATTAAATGAGACATATATACATTTAGCAGTGTCTGACATAATATACCTAATAGTATATTAGTATACCTAAATAACTATTAAACAGCCAAAGCTCTATTTCTGCCACAAACATGCAAATCAGTTTCTCCCCATGTTAACTAAAACCTCGGTCTCTCTTATATTAGTAATAATATGGTTTAAGGTTACCTACCAGTGATCTCCACTTCTAGTTTCCAAACTATAGATTTGCTGGAACCAATCTTAGCGTTTTCTGCTTTCTTTCTTTAATTCTATTTCTCTTCAGGAATGTTGATCTTATTGCTTCTCTCCCATGCAGGATAGTAGAACTGCATTACATTGGGCATGCTCAGCGGGACATACAGAAATTGTTGAATTCTTGCTGCAACTTGGAGTGCCAGTGAATGATAAAGATGATGTGAGTACTAGATAGAGTTGATAAATTCCAAGTTATCTGTAGACTCCAGACTGTTGTTTACTGAAGCCTGAGTATTAAGCTTACAAATAAAATTGTAACCTTTATTACTAGGAAATTACAGTCTGGCCCTGGTGACCAAGCACAGGACTAGTGGTTGCATTATTTTAAAATATTAGTTTTGCTATTAATATCCTGAAATTTAAGGTAAACATGCAGATCAAGGCTTATTACAATGACCTTTAATAGACTACAGACTGTTTTTATTATGTGGGAAATTTCTGGGGGGTAAATAGTGCATGAATTGTGAGGACCTAGATATCTTTGTTATGTAGAGATTTATGTAATGATTTTGGATATATATATCCTATCTAACAAAAAAGTAATATGCAGATTGACCATCACTCCAACACAAGATGGCTGCCCCCATGTGGTCAAAGATTCTGCCACCATGTGGACACAAGATGGCCACCACAAGATGGCGAGCAGGGGAGTGCAGTTGGGAGGGACCAGGCCTGCAAGGGAGGGCAGTTGGGAGTGATCAACCCTGCAGGGGAGGGCAGTTAGGGGTGACCAGGCTGGCAGAGGAGGGAAGTTGGGGGCAAATAGGCTGGCAGGGGAGCAGTTAGACATCAATCAGACTGGCATGGGAGTGGCTAGGGGATGATCAGGCTGGCAGGCAGAAGCAGTTAGGGGCAATCAGGAAGGCAGGCAGGCGAGCAGTTGGGAGCCAGCAGTCCTGGATTATGAGAGGGATGTTTGACTGCCCATTTAGGCCCAATTCCACTGGGCAGTGGGACATCCCTTGAGGGGTCCCAGATTGGAGAGGGTGCAAGCTGGGCTGAGGGATACCACCCCACGACCTCGTGCACGAATTTTGTGCACATATATATATGTGTGTGTGTGTGTGTGTGCGTGTGTGTGTGTGTGTGTGTGTGTGTGTATGTCAAGCGACTGGAACAACTGGAATGACTGGTCACTATGATGCGCACTGCGGCTGGCCAACCAGTCCGATGGGGACAGGGATGGCCAACTTCCCTTGGCCCCTCCCCTTGGCCAGCCCCATCCCTGATTGGCTCCCCCACCCCAATCAGGGGCAGGGCCAGCTGGCCAACCTTCCATGGCCACTCCCCCTCCCCCTGGTCAGCTGGCCCCAATTGGAGTGAGCTGGCCAGATAACCATCTGTACACAAATTTGTGTACCAGGCCTCTAGGATTAGGATAAGACTTGTGAATAATAAGGATGCAAACTTTTTTGTAGGAGAAATTCCTTTTCAAGGATGCTACCTGAAATAATACTTATATTAGCAAAGAAATAAGAACAATTTAATAGAGGAACAGTTGGATGCTGTAGGTATGTCCACATGATAAAATAATTTGTAACCAATAAAGTTATGATTCTAAAGAATGACAGAACAATTCTCATAACAAAATGATAAGTGGAAATTTTAGAAAATGCAACTCACAGAACTTGATATTCTATGATCCCAGCTTGACAATACATTAGAATTAGTCTTAAGTATCATTACATCTATATTATGGGATTATGGGTGGTTTTTCTTTTTTTTGTGTGTACATTTGCTTTCCAATTTTTCTACAGTGCTTAATAAGAGGAAAAGAAAGAATGTTATTGTTTGTTTGTTTGGTTTTGTTTTTGTCATTACATGGTTGTTTTATTAAAGTAATTTGGGTTTACTCCACCCATAATTTTTTTATATTGTCTTTCAGCTCTTTGTAAACCCAGCCTAAATGTTAATATTAATCCCTGTGCCTTTCTCCCCTGGTTTTGTATGGCACACCTCTTTTACAGGCTGGTTGGTCTCCTCTTCATATTGCCGCTTCTGCTGGCCGGGATGAGATTGTAAGAGCCCTTCTGGGAAGAGGTGCTCAAGTGAATGCTGTCAATCAAAATGGCTGTACTCCCCTACATTATGCAGCTTCCAAAAACAGGCAAGAGGTAGGGTTTTATTCCTAGGCAACTTCTCTGAGTTCTGAACCTCTACGCAAACACAAATATATCTCTGCATAGTTTTCTTCTTCTTTCCAGATAGCTGTCATGTTACTGGAAGGCGGGGCTAATCCAGATGCTAAGGACCATTATGAGGCTACAGCTATGCACCGGGCAGCAGCCAAGGGTAACTTGAAGATGATTCATATCCTTCTGTACTACAAAGCATCCACAAACATCCAAGACACTGAGGGTAACACTCCTCTGTAAGTGACAAGTAGCAGTCATTTGTATTTACCTGATATTAGCCCTCTTGCACTAATTATTACACATCGTTTCCTTTTTTTTTTATTGTGCTAATAAATGTACTACATGTTTATAGCGAAAACATTTGAAAGTACACAAAAATATAAAGATAAAATTTAAAAATGCCTATCATCTTGCAATCCAGAATCAATCACTGATAACATTTTTATCTGTTTCCACCAAAGTTTTTTGTTTTTTTCTTTTTTTTATAATATATTTTTTTATTAAATTATTATTTTTGTACATATACCAATGTCACCCCCCCCTCCCATACATACCCTTCCTCCCCAGAGTCTTGTGTCCATTGGTTGTACTTATATGCATGTATACAAGTCCTTCGGTTGATCTCTTATCTCCCCCACATCTCCCCAACCTCCCCGCTGTAATTTGACAGTCTGCTTATTGCTTTACTGTCTCTATATCTATCTTTTGGTTCTTCAGTTTATAATGCTCTTTATCATCCATAAATAAGTGAGGTCATGTGGTGTCTCTCTTTCATTGACTGGCTTGTTTCACTCAGCATGATGTTCTCCAATTCCATCCAGGTTGCTGCAAACGATGAGAATTTTTTTCTTTTTTATGGCTGCGTAATATTCCATTGTGGAAATGTACCATAGTTTTTGGATTCACTCATCTGCTGATGGCCACCTAGGCTGTTTCCAAATCCTAGCTATTGTAAATTGTGCTGCTATGAACATAGGGGTGCATATATTCTTTCTGATTAATGTTTCTAGCTTCTTGGGATATATTCCTAGGAGTGGGATTACTGGGTCAAATGGGAGTTCCATTTTCAGTTTTTTGAGGACGCTCCATACTGTTCTCCACAGTGGTTGCACCAGTCTACATTCCCACCAGCAGTGCACGAGGGTTCCTTTTTCTCCGCAACCTCACCAACACTTGTCGTTTGTTCATTTGTTGATGTTGGCCATTCTGACAGGTGTGAGATGGTACCGCATTGTTGTTTTGATTTGCATTTCTTGGATAATTAGTGACTTTGAGCATGTTTTCATGTGCCCCTTGGCCTTCATTCTGTCTTCTTTTGAGAAGATTCTATTTAGATCCATTGCCCATTTTTTAATTGGGTCATTTAACTTCCATTTATTAAGTTTTGTAAGCTGTCTGTAGATGTTGGAGATTAAACCTTTATCAGTGATAACATTTGCAAATATGTTCTCCCATACAGAGGGCTCTCTTATTTTGTTGATGGTTTCCTTTGCTGTAAAAAAGCTTTTTATTTTGATGTAGTCTCATTTCTTTATTTTCTCTTTAACTTCAATTGCCCTAGGGGAAGTATCAGTGAAGAAGTTCTTTTGGCATAAGTCTGAGATTTTGCTGCCTGTGGATGCCTCTAGTATTTTTATGGTTTCCCGTCTTATGTTTAAATCCTGTATCCATTTTGACTTTATTTTTGTGTATGGTGTAAGTTGGTGATCCAGTTTCATTCTTTTGCATGTATAATATCTGTCCAATTTTCCCAACACCATTTATTGAAGAAACTGTCTTGACTCCATTGTATATTCGTGCCTCCTTTGTCAAATATTAACTAGCATAGTGATTTGGGTTGATAACTGGGTTCTCAATTCTATTCCATTGATATATATGTCTGTTCTTGTGCCAGTACCAGGCTGTTTTGAGAATAGTGGCTTTGTAATACAGTTTAAAATCTGGTATTGAAATCATTCCTACTTTACTCTTCTTTCTCAGGATTGCTGTGGCTATTTGGGGTCTTTTGTTGTTCCAAATGAACTTTTGAAGAGTTTTTTCTAGGTCAGTGAAATATGCTATTGCTATTTTAATTAGGAGTACATTGAACCTATAGATTGCTTTGGGAAGTATGGTCATTTTGATGATGTTAATTCTACCAATCCATGAACATGGTATGTTCTTCCATCTGTTTACTTCTTCCTCTATCTCTTTTTTCAGTGTCGTGTAGTTTTCCGTGTATAGGTCTTTTACCTCCTTAGGTAAGTTTATTCCAAGGTATCTTAATTTTTTTGGTGCGATGGTAAATGAGATTGCCTTTTTAGTCTCTGTTTCCGCAAGTTCACTATTGGTGTATAAAAATGCCATAGATTTCTTGGCATTAATTTTGTATCCTGCTACATTGCCAAATTCATTTATTAAGTCAATTAGTTTTTTAATGGAGCCTTTTGAGTTTTTATGTACAATATCATGTCATCTACAAATAAGGATAACTTTACTTCTTTTTTTCCAATTTGGATGCCTTTTATATCCTCTTCTTGTCTAATTGCAATGGCTAGTACTTCCAGTACTATATCAAACAGGAGTGGTGAGAGTGGGCAACCCTATCTTGTTCCTGTTCTTAGAGGTTTTAGTTTTTGCCCATTGAGTATGATGTTGGCTGTGGGTTTATCCTATATAGCTTTTATTATGTTGAGGTATGATCTTTGTACTCCCACCTGGCTGAGAGTTTTTATCAGGAAAGGGTGTTGGATTTTATCAAATGCTTTTTCTGCATCAATTGATATGACTATATGATTTTTATATTTCAATTTGTTTATATGATGTATCACGTTTATTGATTTGTGGATATTGTATCATCCTTGCTTTCCTGGAATAAATCCTACTTGGGCGTGGTGCATAATCTTTGTGATGTGCTGCTGGAGCCGATTTGCTAGAATTTTGTTGAGGATTTTGGCATCTATGTTCATAAGGGATATTGGCCTGTAATTTCTTTCAATGAGTTGTCTTTATCTGGTTTTGGTATTAGGGTGATGCTGGCTTCATAGAAGGAGTTTGGAAGTGTTCCTTCCTCTTGGATTTTTTGGAATAGTCTGAGGAGGAAAGGTTTTAGTTCTTCCTTGAATGTTTGGTAAAACTCTCCTGTGAAGCCCTCTGGCCCTGGGCTTTTGTTTGCTGGAAGCTTTTTGATGACTGTTGCAATTTCTTCCCAAGATACTGTTCTATTGAGATTTATAGATTCTTCCTGATTGAGTTTTGGAAGGTTGTATTTCTTTAGGAATATGTCCATTTCCTCCAGGTTGTTCAGTTTGTAGGAATAGAGTTGTTTGTAGTATTTTGTAACAATCCATTGTATTTCGGTGGGGTCTGTTGTTATTTGACCTCTTTCGTTTCTGATTTTGTTTATTTGAGTCCTCTCTCTTTGTTTCTTGGTTACCCTGGCTAGAGGTTCATCTATCTTGTTTATCCTTTCAAAGAACGAGCTCTTGGTTTTGTTGATCTTATGTATTGTTTCTTTGGTCTCTATGTCGTTTATCTCTGCTCTAATTTTTGTTATTTCCTTCCTTCTGCTTAGACTGGGCTTTTCTTGTTGCTCTTCTAACTCTGAGTTGTAGAGTTACATCATTTGTTACCATTTTTTCTAGTTTTTTGCAATAGGCTTGTAGGGATATGAACTTCCCTCTCAAAACTGCTTTTGCTGTGTCCCATAGATTTTGGATTGTTGTGTTTTCATTGTCATTTGTTTCCAGTATGTTTTTAATTTCTTCCTTGATTTCTCTGGTAACCCAGTCCTTGTTTAATAGCATGGTTTAGTTTCCATGTGTTTGATTTCTTTGAATTATTTTTATTGTAGTTAATTTCCAGTTTTATGCCATTGTCATCTGAGAAGATGCTTGATATGATTTCTAACTTCTTGAATTTGAAGAGACTTTGCCTATATCCCAAAATGTGGTCTATCTTTGAGAATGTCCCATGTGCAGTTGAGAAGAATGTATATTCTGTGGCTTTGGGGTGGAATGTTCTGAAGATGTCGATTAATTTCATCACTAGAATAGTGAGTCATTTAGGATTGATATTTCTTTGCTGATTTTTTGTTTAGATGATTTTTCAAAGGGTGACAGTGGGGTATTAAAATCTCCTACTCTGATTGTATTGCTATTAATCTCTCCCTTAATGTCCTCCATCAGTTTTTTTATATATTTGGTTGCTCCTGTATTGGGTACATATATATTTACCAGGGTTATTTCTTCTTGTTGGATTGCTCCCTTTAGTATTATGAAGTGGCCTTCATTATCTCTTGTTATGTCCTTCACTCTGAGAACTAATTTGTCAGATATAAGTATTGCTACCCCAGCTTTTTTTTTTCATTTCCATTTGCCTGGAAACCCTTTTTTCATCCCTTCACCCTCAGTCTGTGTGCATCTTTTTTTCTGAGATGGGTTTCTTGTAGACAACAGATGTATGGATCTTGTTTTCTTATCCAATCTGTTACCCTATGTCTTTTGATTGGAGCATTTAAACCATTTGCATTTAATTTATTAATGATAGGTACTCATTTGATGCCATTTTTATTCTATACTCCTGTATTCCTTCTTCGCTTCCTATTTCTTTATTTTTACAGCAGACCCTTTAGCATTTCTTGCATTGCTGGTTTGGTGGAGATAAATTCCTTTAGTCTTTTTTTGTCTGTGAAGCTCCTGATTTCCCCTTCAATTTTGATTGATAGCCTTTCTGGGTACAGTATTCTTGGATTCAGACCCTTCCTTTGCATGACTTTGTGTATTTCATCCCATTCCCTTCTGGCCTGATAAGTTTCTGTTGAGAAATCAATTGTTAGTCTGATGGGGGTTCCTTTATATGTAACTTTCTGTTTCTCTCTGGCTGCTTTTAAAATTCTTACTTTGTCGTTGGTGTTTTCTAATTTAATTATAATATGTATTGGCGTTGGTCTTCTGGGATCCATTTTGCTTGGGACTCTGCGAGCATCTTGGATTTGTGTGGGTTTTTTCTTCTCTATCTCGGGAAAGTTTTCTGTCATTATTTCTTGAAATACGTTTTCCATGTCTACCTCAGTTTTCTTTCCTTCTGGAACCCCTATTATTCGAAATTTGTTTTGTTTTGAATTGTTCCAAAGCTTCTGTAGGCTCTCCTCCTGCTTTTTAATTTTTTTTTCTAGAAGCTGCTCTAATTGGGTATTTTTTTCCATCTTGTCTTCTAGCTCACTGATGCAGTCCTCTGCTTCTTCTAGTCTGCTCTTGCTTTCTATTGAGTTCTTCATAGTAGCGATGACATTTTTCATTTCTTCTTGAGTCATCTTCATTTCCTCTTGTTTTTTCTTCATTTCCTCTTGGGTTTTACTCATATTGTCAAATTTGTCTTCCATTCTTTTTAGCCATCTTATGATCGTTACTCTGAATTCTTGCTCTGGTAGGTTGCTTGCCTCTAACTCATTTACTTCCTTTTCTGGTGTTCCCTCCTTTTCTTTCATTTTGTGGGCTGTTTCTTTGTCTCCCCATGGTCTCTCTTCTCAGGATGTCTCTCTCCTGCGTTGATTTCTCTCTCCTGCGTTGATTTAAAGTCACAACCAGGTACAACACACAAAACACTTAACAGAAATGTGTTTGCAATATTTAAAGGCACAAAATACAACACAACCAGGTACAACACACAAGGCACTGAACAGAAATATGTTTGCAATAACTTCCAATAAAAGTAACCACTAGGGAAAGGCAAATTAGGGAATAGGAGAGAAATAGGAAGAGTAAAAAGAGAAGAGGGAGAGAGTAAAAGAAGAAGATAGGAAAAAGAGTGTCAAAATGAATTTGGGAAACATGGAGAAGAGAGAGAGGGAGAGAGAGAAAAGGGGAATAAACTATATATATCGGGAGAGAGTTTCAATTGAACAACCACTAACCCCAACAAATGCTGTCAGCAGTACCTGGAGAATAATACAATCTACAACATCCCCTAATTTCCAGCACAGGAAGGGAAAACAGAAGTAATAAAATAACACCAAACAAAAACCAATCACATAAGAAAATACCGAGCAACAGCAACAACAAAAGTATAAACAAAATACTCTCACTAAAAAGCATAAAAATACAATATAATCATCATTCTCCCAAACAGCATCAAAAGAACCATGAGGAAAACAATTTTTTTATTTTTTATTTTTGCTAGTTAATACAGCTCAGAGAGGGGTGTGTATGCACTTGGCACATGGGATTTGAAATTAGATATATAAGTAGGGTAGAAATTTTAGCATGGAGGATACAGAAAGAGTAAAGAAAACTAAAGCAGGAAAGGGTTAAGATAAACAGGATAGCAAAAGGGGGAAGGGTAGAAAGAGAATAATGGTGTAAAGGTCGCGTTGAGTTAGGGTTAAACAATGTTAAAGGAGAAATGAAAATAAAATGAAAAACACTAATTCCAATATAAAATAAAGAGAAAATAAAATGGCACTTAAAAAATTAAAATAGCAGTAGTAAAAATGCTTATTGAACCTAAAAATGTAATCATTAAAAAGTTAAAATCTATTGAGGAAAAAAGGAAAAAAAACTGTTTCTTAAGTAAAAGATGCAAAAAATGAAAATAAAAATAAATAAATAAATAAATTTAGCAAAACAAATGTGCAGTTGTGAAGGCCATTCACTTCTGTTATTCTATTTGACACGCCCGTTTCTCAGTCCAGACCTTATTGCAGTTCCCTGCGTTCTGCTGAACCTCAATGGCGATTCCTTAGTTTCTTGGTTTTTGATCAAATAAAACTAATAATAAACACAGTCAGTTTGTACTCCAGACCCTAGATAGCAGTGTATGTGAATTGATGTCCCATCTTTTTGGCTGCTCTAGCCTTCTTTTTCTGTGGCACTCAAAACCGGGTTTTTTTGTTTGTTTGTTTATTTTTTATTTTTATTTTTTTTGCCTCAGAGCTGAATCCTGGATGATTTCTCCCTGCTCTGCTTCTCAGTTTCCAGAAAAGCAATTTCCCCCTGCTGTCTCTTAGGGCCAGCCAATCTGGGTGATCTCTGCTTTGTAATCAGAAGCAAAGTGTTGCAGGGGAACCAGCTAGGTGCACGATGGGCAAGTCTGCGCGCACTTACAAACAGACTGCTTCCAACTTCTCTGTTCTCCCACCATGTCGGATCAGAATGGGTTGCTCCCTAGAGAACCCCACTAGTAGCAACCTTGGGGACCCTCGTCCACTCTCTCGAATCACGCCAGATCCAACAGTGCGGGGGCTTCTGTGGACGCAGATTTCTGGGGTCCCAGCGTGCGCTTTTTTTTCCCTCTGCCGGCCCAGTGGCCGCGCAGTCTCCGCAGCTGCCGCTTTCCTTTCGCTGTTGTGACACAGACACCCCGCATTATTCCCGGCAAAATCCAACCTTTCTGTGGAATCCGCATGTCCGCGCCACGCCGGTCGGACAGCCCCGATTCTTAACAATCTTTTTCGTGTCCCTTGGCGTTTTAAAAGAGTCCCGCTTCTGGGGAAGATTACGCCAAACCCAGCACTGGGTCTTCCCAGGCAGGATTCTCACTGCAGCCAACAGCCTTCTTTCGGTGCAGCTCCGTGCGGGGCCCGTAGCGGCTGCAGTTGCTGCTGGCGCAGCAGGAACCCAGAACCCTCACACTATTCCTGAAAACTCTGACCTTTCCGTGGGTGGTTGAAGAACTCCCTTGAATCCACGTGTTTGCACCGATTGGGGCGTCACAACTGCTCAATGGTCTCCTCTGCTGTGGGTTTTCCAGGCCTCAGAGAAGATCCTCCTCCACCCAGCTTTTTATATGCAATTGCATAATTTTACTTTTTTTTCATTGGGATCATACTGTGGATATAATTTTATTTCTTGTTCTTTTCACCTAATGTTATTAAGTATTTTTAAAACATGTTTGAATGGCTATGTACAGTTCAATTTTGTGGATGTTCATAAATCATGCCTATATTACTGTATATTTAAAGTTTTTTTTTTAGTTTTTCCACTGTTATAAATAATGCTATATTCACCAACTATATAAAAAAGTTTTTGGTCATATTGCTGATTATTGCCTTAATATAGACTCCTAGAAGTAGAATTTCTGGGTCAACAAATACAAACATTTTAAGATTATTGCTATATATTGCTAAATTACTTCAGAGGAGTATCATTGTACCTTCCCAACAACAGTTTGAGAGTGCCTATTACCCCCCTCACCAAAACTGAAAATATACTTTTTTTTGTATGGAAAATGGTGTTTTATTAACAGTGAATAGAAACATTTTTAATGCCTACAACTAATGCATTTTTTTTTAAATAAATTATAACTTCGTGTCCCTCTTTATTTTCCTTTTGGGGAATTAAATTTCTTTACTGGTTTTTTATATTTTTTTATTTTTTTTATTGATTTTTTTACAGAGAGGAAGGGAGAGAGATAGAGAGGTAGAAATGTCGATGAGAGAGAAACATCGACAAGCTGCCTCCTGCATACCCTCCACCAGGGATGTGCCCGCAACCAATGTACATGCCCTTGACCGGAATAAAACCTGGGGTCTTTCAGTCCGTAGACCAACACTCTACCACTGAGCCAAACCTGTTTCGGCTTTACTGGTTTTTTAAGAACCTTTGACATGACATAGTAAAAATATGCCTTCTGCCATGTTAGTTGAAAATATTTTTCCAGTTTGTCTTTTCATGTTGTTCATGATTTTTTTAAATAACAGAAGTCATTATGTAGTCAAACCTATTAATCTTCCCTTAAGATTAGAGTCTTTCCTCACCATGAAATTAGTTAAATATTCACCTGTATTTTATTGTACCATAGGCTGTAGTTTGATATTTATTGTCACTGTTATTTATTTAACTCAAATCCATTTGGAAATAATTTATGTTTAAGGCCTGAAGCCATAATCTACCTTGATATTTTTTTCTGCATTCTTGTCCATTTTTCTTCTTTATTGAATGGTGACTTCTTTTGAACCAGAAATGTCTTCTTTTTAGTCCAAAGTGAGACTCAACCTTTTCTAATTTGACTTTAAAGCACCTTATAAAAATAATGTTTTCTTAATTCTTAGCTTTAAAAATCGTTTCTGAAGTTCTAAGTGACTCCATTTAGAAATACTTGCATATAGCTCTTTTCTCCATAACAAGAAAGGCACAATGGCTCAGAGAAATCTAGAAGTCAAGCAATATAAGATCTGGGAACAGCCTAGGATTTACAAACTAAGCCACTTACCAGCTATATTAAATACTTATATTAAGTAACTTCAAGTAGTTACTTAACCTTTCTAAGTCTTAACTTCCTCATCTATAATATGAGGATAATAATTCCTTCCTCAGTAGATTGTTGTGAGGTTTAAATAAAATAACATGTAAAGTGTCTAATACCCTGCCTGGAAAACTATAAATGCCCAGAAAAGTTCTTTCAATTACTCCTTAGTCATTTCATCATAAGCAAGGACTTTAACTACTATCACGATTCAACTGTAAAATGTTAATAGTAATTCCAAGGTAGTTATAAGGATCAAATGACAAACTCTTTCAAAATGCTTTTCCAAAATATAAACCATATAAAATCCTTTTAAGAAGATTATGAATGGGGACATTTCTAAATTCCAACCATGAATGTGAATGCATGTGTTTGATGAAAATTTTTTACTTCTAATCTCAGTAGAATAAGAAAGTTGATTCTTAGGCTGGCATTTATTTTTTTTTTAATTATATTTTATTGATTTTTTACAGAGAGAAAGGGAGAGAGATAGAAAGCTAGAAACATCGATGAGAGAGAAACATCTATCAGGTGCCTCCTGCACACCCACTACTGGGAATGTGCCCGCAACCAAGGTACATGCCCTTGACGGGAATCGAACCCGGGACCTTTCAGTCTGCAGACCGACGCTCTACCACTGAGCCAAACCGGTTTTGGCATAGGCTGGCATTTAGATCCCTTCTTTTATTGCCTTATGACCAGAATTATGATTTATGATCTGGTATTCTAAAGCTATTTTACTAAATTTTAACTTATAAACACTCTTCCCCTTGCAACTTGATTTTGCTTTCCTGATTAAATAGCTTCCTAATATCACACTACCTAATAATATGCGCTATAGAATACCCATCAGCAAATCCTAGCATTATGTAGAAGAAGTAGTGATTTATCAGTCTTTGTGGTCCTCAATTTCAGACACTTAGCCTGTGATGAAGAGAGAGTGGAAGAAGCAAAACTGCTGGTGTCCCATGGAGCAAGTATTTACATTGAGAATAAAGAAGAAAAGACACCATTGCAAGTGGCCAAAGGTGGGCTGGGTTTAACACTCAAGGGAATGGTGGAAGGTTAAACAGTTTGGATTTATTCTTTGTATGTTTTGTGGTCGTCCCCGGTGTCCTGGAAACAAATGCACTTTGTGCATAAGACATCATCTATGATTGATGTAGTTTTTTTCACCTTCAAAGTCTTATAAACATTTTAAATATTGTTCCTGCTGAGATATTTGTTCTTCTGAGTTTACAATTTGCTTTCTAGGCTTGTAATAACTGTTTAAATTGTTCTACTGTTGTTGTATAGTCTGTATAGAATTTTGGTTAATTTTGAGTAAATGATTCTGTGGCTATGATGAAACTTTAGCACTCTCACGTGCACCCTCTGTCCCCCTCTGAGGCAGAACAAGCCAGTAGCCTCAGGGCAGTTGTTTTGCCAAATGTTTTAAGGTGGATTCTAGAATGTTCCTTCTGTCTAGTTAAAACACATCCTAACTTGTTTTGCAAGCTCACTCAGAGGCCTGTACCAAAAATTGCTGGGGTTTTTTTCAGCAATACATTTAATTTATTTTTGTTATGGGAGGAATACTTATATATTATAGAGGACCAAATTTTCAGTTGGAGGGCCTGTTATTCCAAATTTGGTATTCAGAAGCACTAAAATAATAAAATGGTAGCCTGTGTACCCATGTATATTTTCAATAAACTGTTTCCCTCCATAAAATGTGTTATTTTTAAAAAGGAAATTTTAAAGTACCTATATTAAGTCATCCTGTATTGAAAAAATGTAAAGCTTGTTAACATGCTTTGTTACAAAAATGTACTTTGATTTGTATTTCAGAAACTAAAAAAATAAAATGTTGAGAGAATCTCTCAATTTTTCAAATCAGTTAAACACTCACTAAAACCTTAGAAGTCCTTCATAAAAAAACATTTCCAATTTTCAGTAGCTCTAAAGTTAATAAAATTAGTGAAGCTTGAACTAAGGCATTTTAAAATATTTTAAAAAAAACAGTAATTTTCTGAATTGCTAATTAAATGTGAAGTCAAAGGAAATTAATAAGTGTAAACTTGATCTCAATTTAGGGAAGTGCTCTTAAATGATTACTAGTCATAAAATCTAATGACCTCCAAGTGACTCTTCAAATTATTTTTTTAATTTTGAACTTTGTGCTTCAAATATTGCTTAAAGTAAGTGAGCCCACAAACTTTCATTAACTTGGGGTCATAGACTTCATGACCAGTAGCTAAAATGATAAAAACAGAGTCATTTGGGGGTCTGGAACAGATTAATTCAATTCACATTATTTCTATTGAGAAAAAATGTTTGGGTTTTCGAACAAATCACTTCTCTAATAGCATTTGAGAACAAAGTTTGAGAACCAAGGTTCCACTGTATTAAGTTCATTGTCTGTAGTAAAAGAAAACTCATCCTAGTTCTTTAATAAGCAATACAGCTGGAACTAAGCCTCAACTTGTAGGCCATTCCCATCTAACCTAATAAAGTGATATGCAAATTAACCATCACTCCTCTGCTACACAAGCCACACCCACCAGCCATCAGAGCAAGTATGCAAATTAACCCAACAAAGATGGTGGTGGTGGAGACAATGGGCGCAGTGGGTCAGGTGGGCGGGATGGGGCACGAAGCAGCAGCACATGGCCACAGAGGCAGCAGCAGTAGTGGGCGCAGTAGGTTGGGCATGCAGGGCGAGGTGTGCAGTGGTGGTGGCAGCGCATGAACATGTACTCTCACAGCCTTGGAGATGGCAGCGGCGGCGGTGGCCACGGGTGCTGTGGGATGGGCAGGACACATCCTGCCCCACCCACCGCAGCTGGAGAGGTGGTGGTGATGGGAGGGAAGCCCACCAGAAGTCTTGGAGGAATATTCCTGCAACAGGTGCCTAGTTTCAAATGAAGTAGCTTGTTTACAATATGTAAATCACTGATATGTATAAACTAATAATATTGATGACCTTGAATATTGATCAGATTGCCTTCATTATCCTCTCTGAATTCTTTGTTTTTAAACCAAAGCTTCAAAGACAAGTGGAATTATTGAGTCTTTATTGATTGGATTGAACCTTTTATAAGACCTGTTTTCCAGCACGTAGACATTGTAAAACAGCTATTTATTACTAAAAGTTGGGTTTGTTTCATTGGAATTAGTAGTTTGGTGAAGTTGAAAGTACATTACACTGGGAATCAGAATTTGAGGTCTAGTCTTGACTTAACATAATCTCAGGCAAATTATTTTATCTCTCTTCACTAAGAGATTTTCCTCTGGGGATTAGCTGGATGTATATAGTCATGACCTAGCTTTTTTAAACTACATTTACCCTTTTCTGTCTCCCCCACCAAGAATGTAATTCTTCTCCTGCTTCCACCCCATCATTTTCAGGAGTGAGCCAATGTGTATGTTATCACCCCCAGGTGCTCTGGGTTTAGAAAAGGTTGAGTACTGTTGATATCAAATCTCGCTTCAAGCTCTTTTATCTCTTTTTACTAAAAGATCATCAAACTTGAGTTACACACAGGCCCGTATAAGAACTGCAAATTTTAACTTCTCAACTTAAAATATTGAGAGGAAAGGTCACCTGGTACTCTTAAAGGACATATCAATATACAGGGGTGGGCAAAAGTAAGTTTGCAGTTGTTCATATAGAAAATAATGCAATATTAATAATGCAAGAATATATTATTTCACATACAACTATAAACCTATTTTTGTCCATGCCTGTACATTGTTTCTTAGCTATAGGCCAAGCATTACTATGGTTTAGTTCTTTTTCATTACAGATCACTATGATTTGCAGTTTAAATCCAGCCTCTTTCTCCCCTAGAATCAACACACCACTGTTGATAACATGCAAGAACTTGTTACAGCAAAGCCTTTTTAAAAGTATATATTTTATTGTTCAAAGAGAAAAAGGAGAAGGAGAGAGATAGAAACATCATGGTGAGAGAGAATTTCCATCAGCCTCTCACTCACCAGGGACTGAATCCCCAACCTGGGCATATGCCCTGACCAGGAACTGAACCCTGACCTCCTGGTTCATAGGTCAATGCTCAACCACTGAGCCACGCCAGCTAGGCAACATAGCAAAGCCTTATATGTACTAGAGCTAGCTCTGAATTTGCTTACCATTGTATCACCAGCCATAATACCTAGTTTATAGTAGCCATTCAATAAATATCCCATGGGTGACTAAATAAAAAGATGAATTTAGGGAGAATAGGGACCTATAGCCAAAAAGCATTTCTGTTAACTTTAGCATATCCTAGTTGCTAAATGCAGAAACAGAGAGGAGAGAAGTTTGGGGAAATATTTTTGAGTGGTAAGAAGTGAATAATTAAGAAGCCCAAGGCTGGTTTTTAATTTGGTTGAGACTGCTTACTTAAACTTTAACTACCTATAGCAAAATAAATCAGGCAGTACCTTCTCTGAATAAGAATTATGCTGACATAATTTGGTTGAAGTTTAATCAGAGTATTTAAGTAATTACCTATTCCATTACTTATTTTCTGACCCACTGATAAGCAGAAAAAATGTTCACGTATTGCAAGGCTCTTTTAACATACGAGTCCATTTTCTGTCCAAGTTAAGATTTAGTGAAAATGTTACTATTACATATATTATAGGGTCTCAGGACTCATTGAAAACATAAATATATGGTACTAGAGGTCTGGTGCATGAATTTCGTGGTTGGGGGGGGGGGGGGGAGTCCCTTAGCCCAGCCTGCACCCTCTCCAATCTGGGACTCCTCAAGGGATGCCTGGGCAGTCGGACATCCCTCTCATAATCCAGGACTGCTGGTTCCCAACTGCTTGCCTGCCTGTCTTTCTGATTGCCCCTAACCGCTTCTGCCTGCCAGCCTGATCACCCCCTAACCACTCTGCTGCCAGCCTGATTAATGCCTAACTGCTCCCCTGCCAGCCTATTTGCCCCTAACCGCCCTCCCCTTCAGGCCTGGTCACCCCTAACTGCCCTCCCCTGTAGGCCTGGTCACCCCCAACTGCTCTCCCCTGCAGGCCTGGGTCCTGCCCAACTGCCCTTTCCTGCAGGCCTGGTCACCCCCAACTCCCCTCCTCTGCTGGTCTGGTCATCCCTAAAGTGTCCTCCCCTACAGCTTGATTGCTCCCAACTGCTCTCCTCTGCTTGCCTGATTGCCCACAACTGCCCTCCCTTTCAGGCCTGGTGCCTCCCAACTGCCCTCCCCTGCTGGCCATCTTGTGGTGGCCATCTTGTGTCCACATGGGAGCAGGTTCTTTGACCATATGGGGGCAGTCATCTTGTGTGTTGGAGTGATGGTCAATCTGCATATTACTCTTTTATTAGATAGGATAGAGGCCTAGTGCATGGGTGGGGGCAGGCTGGTTTGTCCTGAGGGGTGTCCCGGATCAGGGTGGGGGTTCCCTTGGGGTGTGGGGTGGCCTGGGCGAGGGGCCTATGTGGTTTGTAGGCCAGCCATGCCCCCTGGCGACCCAAGCAGAGGCCCAGGTATTTGGGATTTATGTGTCTTTTCTACATTGAAACTTTGTAGCCTGGAGCAGAGCCCAGCCTGCTTGCTCTGTGGCTGGTGCTATTTCTGTTTGGATTTGTTTACCTTCTATAATTGAAATTTTATAGCCTTGAGTGGAGGCCTAGGCTGGCAAGGGCAGGCGGAAGCTTGGCTTCCTCTGTTGCTGGGAAAACCCAAGCCTCCCCCCTGTTCTCTGTGGCTGTAGCCATCTTGGTTGGGTTTATTTGCATACTCACTCTGATTGACTGGTGGGCGTGCTTGTGGGTGTAGTGGAGGAATGGTCAATTTGCATATTACTCTTTTATTAGATAAGATATTATGGTATACTAACAGAAAGCTAAGGAAACTGGGATGAAAGTCACACTGATTCAGGGTGGCCTTGTGGTAATGTAGATTGTAACCCATATGGTTTGACTTGGAAGGGGCTGAGAAGTCTCCTTTTCCCAAAAATAACCACCTTTGGATTTTTCCAATTCTGGAAATACCACCAGTTAAACTCTGGATTAAGGAATTGTCTGTGTTCCAGAGTCCCCTGTTTAAAGGTAAATACACCTAAGAGAGCTAAGTCCTTACCAACCTGAATGACATTATTAGATGATGAAAGATCATGTTCACTGGAAAAAAACAGGTTACAGAATGGCTACCTTTTGAAAGGATGGCAAGGGTTCTAAGCAATGAATCCTGTCTGAGAAATGCAGACCTGAGTGTGTCACTGAACTGAAAGACACAAGAGAATCTTGGATGTTTGGAAAATAAGGCGCCAGAAAGTCAGGAAGGGCACTGAAAGATCCAAAACACCACTTCAGATTAATACCTACTTTCCAACCTTGTCCAGGTAGGGTTTCTGCATGGGCAACATGTACTCTATTTTTAAATGCAGACCTCTCCTGCTAGTCTTGTTAAATTAATTATGTTATTTTCAGCTCAGCTTCCAGGCTATCAAGATCATTTTTGTAATGATTCATACAACAAAATAGTCATTCCTTATAGGAGCAGAACATCTATAAATTTATTGTGTGCCTTCTGCATTTTTATTGAAGTCATTGGTTCTTAATTTTGGGTTCAGACTGTCTGTAATTTATCTAAAACTGTATATAACATTTTTTTGTGTATAAGAATTTCTCTATAGAGAGGGGTCCTGAGTTTTTAGCAGGTTCTCTGGACCTCAAAAAAGGTTTAAAAACACTGATCCAACTATTCAATATTTTGAACAGAACAGTGCTAATAAACAGAGTTCTGTAAGATCACCAAAAGTGTCTTTCATCTTGTTTGGCACTGATCCACCAGAAATTTTGAGGTGTAGTGGTTGACTATTACATATCGGTCTCTTGTGATTTGCCTTTGTCATAAAAGTGGGAGGGAGAAGTGGAATTCCACCTACTTTGGCATTCTGATTGTTGAAATTTTCATACTGCTGGTATTTATTTTTAATCTCTAAATATTAAGTCATTCTTAAGACCGTCATTTGCTTCCTAAACCCACAAGACACCATATATCATAATATATTTAGCCTGAATGTAATTATAGACACTTCAAGAACCCGTGTGATTAGCTAAAATTAACACACATCAAATAAAATACATAAGTTACAGCTTGCTATCTGTTCTCTACATGGCTCTGAACAAGTATAATGTAAATTCAATGTCAATCTATCTTAAAACCAAGGGTCTCAGTTATTGTACAGGAAGAATATATATAGAAAAGGTTTCACAGTTTAAGAAAATCCTCTGCATAAAAATCTGGATATGATTAGTGGATATTCATTACTTCACTTAAAAAGGATTCAAAAGGGAACCCTAGTACACTGCTGATGAGAATGCAGACTGGTGCAGCCACTATAGAAAACAGTAAGGTGTTTCCTCAAAAAACTAAAAATGGAACTGTCATTTGACCCATTTATCCCACTCCTAGGAATATATCCTAGGAAACCTGAAATCCTAAGCAGAAAGAATATATGCGCCTCTATATTCATAGAAGCATTATTTACAATAGCTAAGATCTGGAAACAGCCCAAGTGCCCATTAGTAGATGAGTGCATAAAAAAGATGTGGTATATTTACACAATGGAATTCTATGCAGCTATAAAAAAGAAGGATATCTTACCCTTTGAGACATTATAGAGGGACCTGGAGCTTAGTATGCTAAGTGAAATAAGCCAGTCAGAGAAAGATAAGTATCACATGATCTCACTCATATGTGGAATCTAATGAACCAAATAAACTGATGGACAAAAATAGATCCAGAGACTCAGAAGCATGAACAGACTGTTGACCCTTAGTGGGGAGGCAGGGAAGGTGGGTAGGAAGAGATCAACCAATGAACTTCTAATCATACATCCATAACCCATGGACACAGACAATAGTGAGGTGAAGGCAGAAAAGGGGTAGAGAGGATCAATGCGGGGTAGGAGAGAAAGGGATGTCTGTAATATTTTCAACAATAAATATAAATTTTAAAAAAAGAACTCAACTTGGAAGGAAGTCAGACACAAAAATTCCTTACTGAATGATCCCATTTACTAGTATATGAAGGTCAAGAAAAGGCAAAGTTAATCTCTAAATTATGGAAAAGAAATTATTGGTAGTCTAGGTCCAGGAAGTTGGTGGAATTGCACAAAGGGTATAGGAAATGTTTTGGGATGGTGGATATGCTCTAGATTGTTGTGGTGGTTTCCTGGGTATATTTCCTGGCTATATACATATGCCAAAACACATCAGTATATCAAACTGCCTACTTGAAATAGGTGCAGTTTATTCAAGATAAAGTAAATGTCAGCAAAGTTTCTTATAGAAGACTAGAGGTCCGATACACAAAATCCAGTGCACTGGGGGAGGATGTCCCTCAGCCCAGCCTGCACCCTCTTGAACCTGGGACCCTTCAGGGGATGTCCAACTAAACTGGCACTCAGACATCCCTCTCACAATCTGGGACTGCAGGCTCCCAACTGCTCACCTGATTGCCAGCGTGATCATCCCCTAACCGCTCCCCTGCCAGCCTGATCGATGCCTAATTGCTCCCCTGCCAACCCAATTGCCCTCCCCTGCAAGCTTGGTTGCCCCTAAATGCCCTCCCCTGCAGGCCTGGTTGCCCCCAACTGCCCTCCCCTGTTGGCCCAGTCACCTCTAATTGCCCTCCCCTGCCGGCCTGATCGCCCACAACTACCCGCCCCTGCTGGCCATCTTGTAGTGGCCATCTTTGACCACATGGGGGTGGCCATCTTGTGCCAGGGAGTGAAGGTCAATTTTCATATTACCTTTTTATTATATAGGATTTACCTTAGGATCATTTAAAATAAGATGTTGTTGAATATTATTTATTGAACCTTAAAATATGATTCATTATGCAAATGAAAAAGTCTTACCTGTAAATTTCTTCAAGGTGGGATATAGGTGAAATATTCAATGGACGAGCTTTAACTTGTAAAGAGATGATATCAATGTATTTTAGTTACTATTTAACATATAAGAATGATGTCTCCATTAATGTAGAATACCGCAACAGTAAATCAATTTAAATAATTAGTTCGAATTATCTAAAATTGATTTTGAGTGTTCATTTAGAACAGTTTCCTAAACTGGCCTTTCCAAAGTAGATAATGGGAGACATAATGATAGCACAATAGCTCATTTAAAGCTACATTGTACATCACCTATGATATCAACATTTTGTATACACTAAAGGAACATTGTATTGGGAGTTGCTTGCCTCTACATTACTTTGCATTTAAAAATTGGGTTATTTTTTTTAATGCTATGCTCAGATAGTGAATAACAGTGTGGTTCCTTTGGAAATTTGGATAAATAAAGCATTAATTTTAACTGTGGTTCCTTTGGAAATTTGAATAAATGAAGCATTAATTTAAGACCTAGTTTTAAATGCTATGTATCAATCAATATGAACCCTTTAAATAATCTTCTCTGGAATTTTAAAAAATTATTTTCCCAGTCTGGGATATGGTAATGGTGAATTATTTTCTTAGTGGTTAATGTGAAGATGGGAAACATTGAACTAGAAATAATCCTAGAAATAATATTGAATCCAATTAAAGCCACCTTGTCATGTGTGCATGTGGAATGTAACAAAGAGTAGCTAAAAATACAGAGATAAGATTTTCTGAAATACTACACAAGTGTTAATTGTATATACAGATGTCAAAACATATCAACACATCAAACTGTATTCTTGAAATAGGTGCGGTTTATTCAATTGAATTAGAAATCACTTGCTTTTATAATTAGTTAGGTTTATATATTAGTAAAATTGTAAGTACATTTTACTGATAAGGCAGGAACCCTTGCATTTATTTAGTAGTTATCTTGACCTGTTTATTTTAGATTGATAGTAGGAGCACCTTGTTAGAAGAGGTTTGGTCAGAATGGAGGGAGGTAGTGGGTGATGGGTTAGGTCAACTGAATTCTAATCGCCAGTAGTGGGCTCCTCAGTGATAAACACTGCAGTTAGGCTACCAGCCTATGACTTATTCTGGTTTTTCCTCATCATACAAGGTTTCAATTGCAATCCTGGGCTCTGGCTCTAGCTCAGGTTCGGGCTCACATTCAGGCTTGGGTTCCAGCTGGATCTCAAGCTCAGGCACCGGGGCAGGCTTAGGTCCTGGAGCAGGCTCCAGAGAAGACTCAGGAATGGTGATAGGACCACGATATGCCCCCTGGATAGTATCGGGTTCAGTCTCAGGGAAGGAAGTTGGTGTTGCTTCCAGTTGAATAACATCTTCAGATGGCATTGTCTCGAACTCTGTAACTCTGTTTGTCGTTGTCATTGGTCTGCAGGAAGAAGGCCCAGAGAAGACCAAGTTAGGGTTTGACATTTCACGTGGAGCCACAGGTTTCAGTGACCATAGGTCCCAGTCTGTTTAAGATCTCTTTGATTTCTGATATTCTGATTCACTGTTAGACCACATGTCTCAATTTTGGGTGCTGAAAGGTTATGTCTCAACAATATCATTAGAGTTCAAGAGAGAAAAACCAGTGTTCCAAATGTGGGTAAAACATATCAAGGTGAAAGGATCTATTCATCTAGTAAAGTCTTTGAGGGCCAAATCCATGACTCGGGTGTATCTTTAGCTCACACTTCATCTAGCACAATACTTGGCATCTGGTTGATGCCAATACATAGTTGTGGAAGCTTAGAAATGGCAAGATGAACAAATGAATGAGTGTCATATACATTCAGGAAGAAATGGCAGAGTGGTCAAGAGCATAGGCCCAGTCACATTCTGACTTCTGTAGACCATATGCACTTATGCCTTTGTGGGCCCCTTGTTCCAAAAAATGTTGAAAAATATATTTTATGACTGTTTGGTATAAAGACAAGTATACTAATATGATAAATATTTTTCTTAGACTTAAAATGGTTATTGTGGTTAAATAAGTTGATATAAAGTGTTTAGAACACTCTGAAACACAGCACTCAATAAACAGTACCCAACATGATTCTTTTATACAAGTCATGAGAATGAACAGAAAGATACCTCTGATATTTTATGCTAAAAGGAGTGCTTAGAAAGATATATGCCAGAGAAATGAATATATTCAAGTAAATACAACAAATTAAGATCTTACTCAAGTTCTGTGGTAGTTTTAGAATTTCTCTTCCTTTCCTTCCCCTTTCCCTTTGCCTTGCTCCTTGCGAAGCACACAGCAAAGGTGATAATGGCAGCACCTACTAGGGTGCCCACCAAGGCCCCAACAATGATTCCAACTTCTGGATCTGGAGGATACAAGAAGCTGGTTAGTAAAGTGGAATATATTGTCTCTGCCTCATACATGTACTTTTGTGATGGGGGGAATATTTGGGGCATTGATAGATTGGGAAATACTAGACTTGAAAAGGCTGGGAGTATGAGCCCCTAGAACTCTACAAGTTGGACTCAGGGCGGAAGAACGATAACTATGTAGCTTACCCATTCACATCTACATACATAAATAAAAAATATGCCAACTTGGGGGAGGTGGCATCACTTTCAAAATGAGGCATCATGCTATGCACCAAGAGATCACTGGTTTGATTACTGGTCAGGGCACATGCCCTGGTTGCAGATTTGATCCTCAGTAGGAGGCATGCAGGAGGCAGCCAATCAGTTTTTCTCTCATTAATGTTTTAATCTCTCTTTCCCTCGCCCTTCCTCTCTCTAAAATTAATAAAAACATATATTTTTAAAAATTTTTATATTTAAAAAATGGAGTTTATGGGAGTCTTCAGTGTGCATTTACTTGGTGAATGAAAGAGACAACATGGAGCTGTACTCTGGTGACCAGAGAAATGGCTTCTGTTACAGGCAGGTACATTTCAGCAACTTTTCCCAGAGACTAGGTCAAGTGGGTTCCTACATTCTTTCTCATAGTTTCCATGCTCTCATGCATTCTAGCTACTGGAAAGGGATATGCCCATTCCATAAACTGGTTTATTAGATCAGTTTATAGAGAAACTTATTGTGTGGATGATTCAGCTGAGCATGAGACTTTATTGTCCCCAAGAGGCCATGTCTGTGTTCCAGGAAGGCTCATGCCCATCCACCTCCCTTCAAATAAGAATGGACATCTTATATTTTAAGACTAAAGGCTAGTTGAACTGCTGGATTATTCCTTCGACATTTTATGATTAAAGGAATACATGTGCATAATTTAGAAAGTCAAACAGTTCCACTAGGATCTAACAAAAACAAGCCAAAACAAAAACTACTAGTCCCCCATCTCTCAGTCCCGTTCTCTAGAGACAATAATTTTTAAGTATTTTGTAATCTTCTAAAATATGCCCCCATGTTTCTATTATGCTTGTTCTAATATGTTCTACCTTTTCCAATTTTGGTTATTTTCTATTGACTTCCTACTCTGGAAGTTGAAGTTTCAACTCTCTTACACAATTCCCCTCATACCTTACCACATTCTCCTTATATATTTATAGCATAAGTTGTAGTTACTAGTAAATCCAAGTTTGCAATATTATAACTATGTAAATATTGTCCACAGCTGCAGAAAATAGTATTAATATGATTCTCTCTTGTTCATTTTAAATTTTTCTGAGGTAAATAATTGCCTCATTTGGTGATTTTTAAAAATGTATTATTGCTAATCCCCCAAATTTCCAGTAAAACTATTGAACTCCTTTCAATAGATTCAAACACATAGAACAATCTATAGGTTTCTTACGTTATTGTTTTGTTTTATTTTCTTCAGAGACATCCTTGCTGGAATCCTCCATCGCCTCCCCCAGCATGGATTGGCTGTTCTGCTCTATTGTCATCCTTCAACCTCTTTTCACCTTTATTCTTATTTTATAGATAAAGAAAGTTCCTTCAAGATACAGCTCAAATAGCACTTCATTGGTAAAGCTGGCCCTGGTTGTATAAGCATAACTAATTATTTCTTCTTTAATGTCCTATATAGACCCTGTGCAGACCTTTATTATAGCATTTAACACATTTTAGTATCTGTTTGTCTCTCTAGCTAAACTGTGAGCTCCTTGATTGTAAGACACATAGCTTATTAATCTCTGTTTCTCCATCATCTAGGACAGTCCCTGTCATATAATAGATATTCAGTGAATATTTGAGGAAGGCAAAGAAGCAGGTAGATAGCAAAGAAGGAAAGAAAAAAGGGAGAGAGGGAGGAAGGGAAGGAGGGAGGGAGGGAGGGAGGGAGGGAGGGAAGGAGGGAGGGAGGGAGGGAGGGAGGGAGGGAGGGAGGAAGGAAGGAAGGAAGGAAGGAAGGAAGGAAGGAAGGAAGGAAGGAAGGAAGGAAGGAAGGAAGGAAGGAAGGAAGGAAGCCAAGTGTCAACATCACTGGAAAGAGGATTCAAATGGAAGAGAGGTTCAAGTATAAATCCTAGGTGTCTACATCTGCTGTATGACTTTACCTCTGGGAAGGTAAAATGGGATTGGGGAAGATCCAAAGAAAAACAGCAGATAAAAACAGCAGAAATTGATCAAGGGGACTGGGGGTAGAATGGGACCACAGAAAGAACAGACCAAAAAGATGAAATTTCTTCACTTTGAATAAAAATAGCTGAAAGCGATATAAGAATGAAGGTGTACCCTGGAGTTGGAAAAATGTTTGGATCAGGGCAAATAATAGGAAGACAGCTCAGCTTAATAGGAAAGTAATGAAACTGGCCACCTGTATATTGTATGTATTAAAACCACAGATTCAAAGTAAGTTAGGAAAAAGGAATAGATGACATGATCCTAAGTGTTAAGTGATCTTTGAGAGGTATAGCAAGATATCCTTTATGGACGCTTGCCATTGATAGGTCTAATTTGACAATTCCAAGCCCTAAAATCTATGATTAGTAACTAAGCACCTTTGAACTGTAAGGTTGAAGTTTAGAGGCATCCAGACACTGCCAGTATAACTTACCTCCCTGAACTTCAGTTCTTTCAGTAAAATGAGACTAACATATCCTGCCTCCTAGATAGGGTATTTGGAGGATTGAGTGAAATAATGCTCACAGTAGCTGGCTGTATGTCTAGTACATAATTTGTGCTCCACAAATAGTAGCTACTGTGACTGTAGGTCTGAGTTTTCTTATTACTATTATTGTCAGGGGCATATCTTAACAAATTATTTAAGAACTGGAAAGTTTGTGAGCTCCATGTTTGACATAGATTGCTACAGTTTCACCTTGACTTACCAACAGCACAACAAAGAAAATTTAGCCTAGTACAATCAATGAAGCTGTCTTTCTATTTATTAAATAATAATTCCTACTTTCTAGACACTAGTATCTAGAGATTTTGTGAGGGTTAAACAAATTTATTTTTATAAACATTTTAGGTCAGTGTGTGGCACATATTAAGTATTGTGTGAACAGTAGATATTATGATGGTAATGCATCATATTCTATATAATAAAAGTGTAATATGCAAATAGACCAATCAGTCTTTATGATGCACATTGACCACCAGGGGGCAGACGCTCAGCATAGGAGCTGCTCCCAGCTAGTTAGTGCACTCCCACTGCAGGAGCAGTGCTCAGCCACATGTCTGGCTGTCAGCTGGTGAACACAGTGTTTGTGGCAGAAGCCTCTCCCTCCTCCACAGCAACACTAAGGATGTCCAACTAAGCTGTTAGTCGGACATCCCCCTCGGGCTCCTGGACTGTGAAAGGGTGCATGCCCAGCTGAGGACACCCCCCCCCCCAAGTGCACGAATGTCATGCACAGAGCCTCTAGTTAACCTATAAAGCAACAAATCTCCAGAGAAACAAGAAGGACTAACCAGGACTAATTAATTAACTTAATTGGCAGCCCCAGTATACTTGACTTAAGGAAAAACTGTTAAAGCTATATGATCAACTCACGTGAAATAGTTAGATCGATTTCACAGGAACTATTGCCAAGGTTGTTGATTGCAGTGCACTTGTAATAACCTTGTTCAAAATTAGTCAGATTTCCAAAAACCAAAGTCCCGGTGGCTGGGTCTGTCAAAACCAGGAAATAGACTTTTGAAATCTCTTATGTGGGTAGAGATGTCAATGTAGCAGATTATTCGATGCCAACCCACTCCCTCAAATTAGCCTCCCTTTCTTGAGGTGTGCAGGGTCCAACTAGACCCCTTGAGATTACTCCAAAAATAGCCCCATCCCACCACCTTTGAGCCAAAACCAGGTTTGACTTCTAGAGGTTGGGGATAAGAACAGACCACAATCATCTTGTTAGAAGATAGACGTTCTTTTTACACCCCCTTCCCAGAAAAATAGAAGATTGATCTGGAAGATGAACAATCAGCCACACACACAAGCTATCAGCTACCATACACACCATACCTTGCTGGGGGCTGGTGAGGGATATACTTACTAAAGCTTTTTTTCACTGGAATTATGTCTTTTCCTTCAAGTTTATACCAGTGGTACACAGGGGAAGGCATTCCAAGCACCGAATGGCAAGAAAGAGATATTGGTTGGCCAGTTTCTGCTATTCCTTGGATGCTGCAAAAGGGCTTAGAAGGTTCGACTGTAAAGTAATGACAAACAATAAAAATCCTGTTGAATGAATGACAGTCTATAACAATTACAGTCACTTCCTCAGTGTCATTTTGAAGAACATCTGTTGCTTTTTTTTTTTTTTTTTATCTTTAAAACTTATTTTGACACTTTTCTATTTATACCACCAGGTGGGAGTAGAGCACCTCAGATGCAAGAACTTTTCAGTCTTCTAATTAGTACATCTTCCATCTGCCTCTTTCCCAGATCTATAAACAGGAATTTCCACTTTGTGTGTTAAAATATGGCTTTATTCAAACTACCAAATGTAAGCAAACACTGAACAACTAAGAGTATAGTTTATACTCTTGAAGCACAGTTTCAAAAGAAAATATAACCCTTAAATATTTTGAGATAACCTATTATTTTTCTTTTAAAATTGTTATATTAATGCCATATTTTTATTTTTCCTTTTACTTTATGAATTATTTTTAGCATTTATTTTTCTTGGGTGGCACAAAATAGTTGGAAGGTTTGAATTTGCCTGTGTCATTGGTAAAGGAAGCCCATTTTTGGGGGGGTGGTGCTAGACTGTTGAAATATTTATTCATTTTTCACTCCATAAGCCAATACTTTAGGGCCTTCTGACACAGTTATGAAGTAGGGCGGGAAGAGTAGTGAAAGAGGGCTTTGTATTTAATGTATTTTGTACTGAGAGCAGGAGAACCGCAGGAGGAATTTAAGTAGGGGAAGGATGATGGTCATTTTAAAGTCTTACTTAAATTACTCTTACTCTTGGGTGCCTGAACCAAGGGAGAGGAGGAGACAAATTCATGAGGTACTACAAATCAACAGGATTTGATGACCAAGTAGATACGGGGCATGAGGAAGAAGGTGGGGTCAATGATGTCTCCCAGATTTCTGATTTGAATATCTAGATACATGAGCTTGCCATCATCCCCTGAGATAAAGAATACAGGAGAAGGGGCTGGGGGGGGGGGGGGGAGAAGATGGCAGCTGGCAGGATGGAGCTGAGAAAGAGAGGAAGTGAGTGAGGGTACGAAAGGAGTGTGTGTGGATGAGCATGGAGTGCGTGTGAGTGAGTGAGGGAAAGTTAAAACACACAGAAGCAGCAGGAGCTGGCAGAAAGCATCTCCTTGACAAGGAGAGACTACCACCACTGCAGGCACTCCCCGGACAGCGGGATTCCAGCACGGAGCCCATGCCATCTTGAAGGGGAGAGCGGCCTTTTTTAGAAACCCATCAACACCACCAACAAAACAGGCATTGGAACTGCCCCGCGAACCAGCACCCACCCCAGACATTATCCTGCTACCCCAGCTGCAGACTCTTGGACCTCCACATCCAAAGATATACCGTTTGCAGCAGCTGTAAGTGCAGCTCCCCCTCCCCAACAGCAAAACCCAAGATTCGAGCACCTCCTCGCTCTGTGACCCAAATCCATAGACAAGCAAAAACACTCCACCCCCGGGTTGCGCGCCTCTCCTGGGATGCTTGTGCACTCTCGCACACGTTACCTCAATCCCATAGACAATAGGACAGCCCACTCTGGGTTGGCATCTCCTGGGGTGCTCACACACTCTTGCGCACATTACCCCAACCCCATAGACACTAGAACAGTTCACTCTGGGGTTGCACGTCTCTCCTGGGGCAGTGCGCAGGAGACACCAAGAGAACCCGAGTGGATTCTGTACAGACTGGGGCACAGTGCCTCACAGTGGAAATTGTAAATGCCCTCTCCTGGAGGTGAGCCCAGCTGATCAACCAAGGTGCCAGGACCCCTAGGTGTGCATCAGTGCTCTGTGCCCTGAGAGTGCGCATCCAAGGATATGCCACTCCAAAGGCAAGGTTCCAGCAGACCTATGTAAGCCAGTAGTGGGAGCCACTGTGAGCTTGCCTTGGGTGAGATCTTGAACAAGCTGGAGGCGCACACTCCTCCAGCAGTAGAAGCTTTGAATTCACTTAGCCTAGATACTGACCCCTAGGCACCTCAACTGTGAGACTACACTGCCAGGGCCCTTCAGAGTCCTTTAGTGCACCTCACTGGCAAACTAACGTGGGTTTTCCAGTGAACCACCACTGGGAGTGAGCACCTACCCACCACAGGTGCAACAGCAAAAGCTGGGTCTGCCCACTCCACGACTGCATATCTCTGGGCACCTCAGCCACGCCTTTCCAAATAGCAGGTCCTCTAAGCCCCAACACCCCAATAGACGGTTCCTGGGGACCACTGCAAGTCCCTACTAGGCATGCACAATTACAATTAAGGGTTCAAGACAACAAAAATTTAGAAACTCCCCTCCACAGCGTCTGACTTCTAAACACCGCATTTGTGCCTCTCAAGCTTGCAGGCCTACATCAAGAGAATCCAAATAGTTTGAGAATGGAGCTACACTAGATTAACAAAGCCCAGGAGAACTGAGAGATTACCCCAGTAGCACCATCCCCAAAGGAACCTGGGCAGCAAGGCAATTGGATCTACAATTAAAACACTACAGGAAAACATGGGGAGATGAAAAGGCAATCCCAAAGGAAAGAAAAAGAGGAGTCACCAGAAAGGGAGTTAAATTAATTCAAAGTTAGCAACTTATCAGAGACAGAATTCAAAGTAATGGTTATAAGGATGATTAAACGGCTGGAGGACAAATACACACAACTCAATGAGATCTATAAGGAGCTGAATGAGAAGGTCATCAACATGAAAAAAAAATAGCAAGAGGAGATGAAGAATGACATAGCTGCAATAAAAAACACAGTGTAAGGCTTAAAAAGTAGACTAGAAGAGGCTGAGGACCACATCAGCAAATTAGAAGGCAAGGTAGAAAAAAACACACAAACACAGCAGCAACTGGAAAGAAGACTTAAAAAGCAAAAGGAAAGCCAAAGGGAGCTTTGGGACAACAAAACAACATTAGAATAATAAGGATACAAGAAGGAGAGGAAGAAAAGCAAGGGATAGAAAACCTCCTGGAAGAAATAATGGCAGAAAACTTCCTTGATATTGGCAAGAAAAAAACTATGCAAGTCCAAGAAGTACAGAGTCCCAAACAAGTTGAACCCCAAAAGACAGATACCAAGACACATCATAATTAAATTGACAAACACCAACAATAAAGCAAGAATCTTAAAGGCTGCAAGAGAGACAGAAAGTTACATACAAGAGATCTTCTATTAGAATAGCAACTGATTTCTCAACAGAAACACACCAGGACAGAAGGGAATAGAATGAAATATACAGAGTGATGCAAAACAAGGGACTGAATCCAAGAATAGTATACCCAGCAAGGCTATCATTCAAAATTGAAGGTGGGTTCAGAAGCTTCACAGACAAAAAGGGCTAAGAGAGTTCATCACTACCAAGCCAGCAATGCAAGAAATGCTAAAGGGACTGCTGTAAAAAGAAGAAAGAGAAAGGCAAGAAGAAACACAAACACTAAGGAAAAATATGACAACAAACAGGTACTTATCAATACTAACATTAAACGTAAATGGATTAAATGCACCAGTAAAAAGACATAGGGTAGCTGAATGGTTAAGAAAACATGACCCATATATCTGCTGTCTACAAGAAACTGACTTTCGAGCAAAGGACTCACACAGACTGTGAGTGAAGGGATTGAAAAACATTTTTCGGGCAAACGGAAATGAGAAAAAAGCTGGGGTTTCAATACTTATATCAGATAAAATAGACCTCAAAGTAAAGGCCATAACAAGAGATAGGGAAGGCCACTACATAATACTAACGGCAACAATTCAGCAAGAAGATATAACTCTGGTAAACATATATGCATCCAATGCAGGAGCACCCATATACATAAAAAATCTCCTGGAAGATATCAAGGGAGAGATCGACATCAATACAGTCATAGCAGGGGACTTTAATACACCACTGACATCAATGGATAAATTCTCTGGACAAAAAATCAGCAAATAAACAGCAATTCTAAATGACACACTATATCAGATGGACTTAATTGACATCTTCAGAGAATTTCACCCCAAAGCCATGGAATATACCTTCTCAAGTGCTCATGGGACATTCTCAAAAATAGATCACATATTGGGTAACAAGCAAAGTCTCGCCAAATTCAAAAAGATTGAAATCATATCAAGCATTTCCTCAGATCACAATGGCATAATATTATAAATAAACTACAATAAAAACATTCCAAAAAATTCAAACACCTGGAAGCTGAATAGCATGCTACTAAACAATGATTGGGTTATCAATGAGATCAAAGAAGAAATTGGAAACATCCTGGAGACTAATGAAAATAAAAACACAGCATTGCAAATCCTATGGGACACAATGAAAGCAGTCCTGAGAAGGAAGTATATAGCTCTACAGGCCTACCTCAAAAAACAACAAAAAGGGTTAATAAATAATGTAACTCAACAACTCAAAGAACTAGAAAGAGCACAACAATAAAAGTCCATAGTGAGCAGAAGGAAGGAAACAATAAAGATTAAAGCAGAAACGAATGGCATAGAGGAAAAAAAATACAAAAGATCAAAAAAATCAAGAGCTGGTTCTTTGAAAGGATAAACAAGATTGATGAACCTCTAGCCAGGCTCAGCAATAAGCAAAGAGAGAGGACCCAAATAAACAAAATCAGAAATGAAAGAAATGAAATAACAACAGACCCCACAGAAACACAAAGAATTATTAAAAAACTACTATGAACAACTCTATTCTAACTAGACAACTTGGAGGAAATGGACAGATTCCTAGAAAGACACAACCTTCCAAAACTGACTCAGGAAGAGTAAAAAAATCTCAATAGGCTGATAACTATGGACGAAATTGAAGCAGTCATCAAAAAGCTTCCAACAAACAAAAGCCCGGGCCAGAAGGTTTCACAGGGGAATTTTACAAAACATTCAAGGAAGAACTAAAACCTATCCTCCTCAGACTATTTCAGAAAATTCAGGAGGAAGGAACACATCCAAGCTCCTTCTATGAAGCCAGCATCACCCTAATACCAAAACAGATAAAGACAACACAATGAA